TCATTATCTTTCTCTTGAAGTCAAAGATTCAAATCCCCGTTCCTATATTTTGTTCGGAAAAGGCCTCGACTACTTTCTCTAGAGCTCTCGAACAAAGTACACCCTTTGTTCGACACATGAGTTACTTTTGACTACACCTTCGAAGCTTGCAATTTCTTTGTTCGACATTTGAGAATTCTATTGACATGGCTAGGTTAAGGACATGGCTCTGATACCATATTAAGAATCACGACCCTCCACAATGGTATGATATTGTCCACTTTGAGCATAAGCTCTAATGCCTTTACTTTGGGTTTCCTCAAAAGGCTTCGTATCAATGGAAATGTATTCCTTACTTATAAACCCATGATGATCCTCTATCCTCTAAATTAGTCAATAGTCAATGCGGACTCCCTCCCAACCATCCTAACAACTCAACCAAAAAAAAAAAAAAAAATTATGATGCGAGAATACAAATCACTACCTTTCCCTGTGTGGAAGAATAACTTCCGTTGCAGATGTATTATCAAGTGGGCAAGCTACTACTTCTGAATTGAAAATCTCTGCACTTCGTCTCCGGATTAAAAAATGATTTCCACGATGACTGGGAAAAGTGTCAACTCCATCCACTCGAGGCGTCAAAACAACAATTCCATCTTGGGGCCTTGAAACATCAAGATAAAAGTTGAACCTAGTAAATTTACTTTCAGATGCAATAAACAAGTATTTCTTGCTCTCGGTAGCTTGAAGATCAAGAGAGAACATATCATCCTTTTCATGATAAAGGCAGGTGTCAGTTGACTGCTCTGTTCCCAGTTTATGTAACCATGCCTATTGAAAAGGGAAAATTTTACTAGATCAACATCTGAATACGTTGAAAAAGAAAATTTTAATTTGAAGTCTGACCATAATATTTATGTGAACGTCATAATGCAAATATTGAATGCAATTATATCGAAATTAACAAAAAAAAATCACCATAAAGGTACTCCGAGCAGCACTCTTTACAACTATAAAAAATCCTCTGGGTCCAATGTGACATAAACTTATTAGGATATTATAATCTACAGCCTTAGCACAAATGAGAAATTAAAGGAAATCCAAACTGTTCTATTTCAGTGAATGGACCAACAAATATATCATTAGAAAGCGATTCTGAATATACAGAACGATCAACAGGTATCTTGAATATGATAGATCTCAGGAAAAAAAAGACTTGTTAGTTCTATTCCAATGAGACAGGCAGAGTAGGAGCCATTGAAGAACAAATAAAGGATGTGATCATATGGGGTAGAAAAACACCTTATCGGGCCGAAGAATCTCATCCATTGTGATGTAAACTAGAGCGTCATCGCCAGCCCAATTGAGATACGATGTGACACCTACAAGAGGCTTCCCTACAGAAGCTCCAGTCTCGGCATCAATTATATAAACCGTGTAGATTTCATCTCCTTTAGTGTCTTCTGCATACGCAACTAGCTTGTTGTTTGGACTAACCTGCAGAAGAAATGACCGTGAAGATGATTCTTAAATCTAGATTATGTCTGAGAGAAACAGGATCAAATTGTAAAGCAGTTCCTCCTAACAATACCTCAAATGCACCAATTGAGTAGTAGGATTGGTTCTGTGCCTTAACATTTTCGTCCAATATAACATGCTCCGGAGGAGCACCAGGTCCAGTGGGCATGGTATCGTGCACAGAGAGAGATTCTTCACCACGAGGTACAAAACGCCTGCAATATTGAACATATTCTTTCCCCTGTAGAGTCCTCTCATAGTAATAATAAGAACCTTTCCGCTCAGGCACAGATATATCATCCTCCTTGATTCGTCCTCTAATCTCAGCATAAATCTGTTCTTCCACTTGCTTTGTTCCTAGATCGATGAATAAAGAACAAAAAAACGCACACATTACTCGAAAGATCCTCATGACTCAAAAATCATCAGAAATCGATAAATCAAACGACGCTATTCTCATCCATCACTGATTCATAAATTTCTCATAATCTTGATGTACAAAATCAAAAACCGAAACAAAATGTAAACTATAGTTCACCAGACATGACGAGATCGGTATACGCATTCTCTTGCTGCAGATATGAAATGACATCAGAGTTTTTGCGAGAATCGTCACGCAACCAGTAATAATTGTCGATCCTGACGTCTCCAAACAGCTCCATCTTGTGCTCCACCTTCTTAGCCACCGGAGGCGAGTGAGAGTTGCTCATTGTAGCGGCCGCCGATCGGAAGTGACGGAGGGAAGCTACCAACGGCGGAGGCGGCGAAAGTAACACTACAGGAAGAAACAGAACAAGGCTTCTCCTAACTAAGCCAAATATGCCGTTTTGTTGCAATGGCTTCATTGCAGTCAACGATTTTCCTTCAACTGTTCAAGATATGCAATTTTCTCTACTATCTCGGAATATGATAAGTTTAAATATTATTTTATTTTAAATATTTATTTCATTTAAATATTATTTATTTTTAAATATTATTGCTCTCTTCATTTTCATTTCTAATCACATTTTTAACACGACATTTTACCTACTAAATTTTTTAAAATATAATTATAAATTTATATCAAAGGGTTTTAATTGTCCGTAAAAAAACAATAACTAAAATGTCTTAGATGAACACGACTCTTCACAATGGTATATTCTTAGATTATAAACTCATGATCATTCTCTAAATTAGTTTATGTGGGACTTTCATCCAACACCTCCCCTCGTACAAAGTATGCCTCCTCTAATCGAGCCTTGACTCTCATAATTATTCCCTAAATTAGCCGATGTGGGACTTTCATCCAACACCTTCCCTCGTACAAAGTACGTCTCTCCTTAATCAAATCTCGACTCTTTTTTCTTTTGGAGTCCTTTGTTCGACATGGCTAAGTTTAGGGCATAACTCTAATACCATGTTAGATAAACACGACTCTCCACAATGGTATGATATTATCTACTTTGAGTATAAGCTCTCGTGGTTTTAGTTTGGGCTTCTCCAAAATGCCTCAAACCAATGAAGAGAGTATTTCTTAATTATAAACAAACGATCATTCCCTGAATGAGTAGACACTTTTATCCAACAAAATGAACCAAAATCGAAATTTTATGACTGAAATATACGAGACATCAAAATAAACCGAACCTAAAAGTACAAGGGTCGTATTTTAACATTTTTTTGTTATTAATATCAAATATTATATAATTAAAAACGTAATTTCAGACGATAATGATAAAGAGTACATATCAAAACTAATTTTTATATCCCATAAAGATTATTTTAATTATTTTAATAATTAAAATTTGATTGGATGGCAATTTCATATATAGAATTCAAAAGATATCAAATAAAAATAAATATATATTATTTGTGTTAAGATATTAAAAAAAATTATATTATGATATTGTATAATATTGCATGATTCATTCTAAAAAAGTACTCCAATAATTGGATATAGGTAATCCACAATATTGAAACGTGTGCGGCTTACAAATTTTCTTTTTTTTTTTTAATTAAAATAAATAAATGACATTCTTCATTATTTAGTTTCTTTATTATGAAAAAATATATATATTGTGAAATTTTCCTATAAATTTTCAAATTAAAACAACCTAATAAAAGTTACTTTCCTAAATTTTAAATTTAATTATAGTTTTAATAAAGCTTAAAAGTTGTATCAAATTAATAAATATTTGTAAAAAAAAAAAAAAAATTTAATTACTCAGGTGTTCGTATGACCCGAAAATCCAACCAATTTGGACTACTCAACCCAAACTATAAATGTTAGATTGAGTTATATTTTTTTCGATTTGGGTCGGGTTAAATTTTTTTAAATCTAAAAAATCAGGTCGATTCTTAAGATTATTATGAAAATTAAGAAGTAGATATTTTTGTTAGGTAGAATGTTGGGTTGGGTTGAGAACTTGAATTGCTCGAGTCACCAACCCTTTAATCGGTGAATTATTATTTTTATTTAACAAAATTTGACCAAAATCAAATTGAAAAATTATTATTTTAAGCTATTTTTAAAAAATATCAAATCGTGAATAATAGGGTAATGGGGCACTGAATGACGTAAGCCGATTCCCTGACCGGACAGGGGCAGCCATGCTTCTCAATCTCATTGGTTAAACAAAAATATCTCAAAGCTCTATGGCCAATCAACAACTATACTTTTTTAAACGACTACCACGTGTCATGACTATTTCTTTAAATAAAATCTTGTAAAATAAAATAAAAAACATAACCGGAACAAAAAGAAAACCCGTCATTTGTACATGAAGACATATGACATGTTTCAAGACGGGTGAGACTTACTTTTCATTATTATTATTTGAGTTTTACTTTTTTTCTTTTTTTTTTTAGCAATGGTGGATGCATAATACTTTCCTAAACGGTTCATGCACATGTGCATGATTTCACGAGGTGGACTTGAATGCATATCATTAGACCTTACTATGTGCTAATGCATGCTAACGTTGTTAAAAACCAATGGAAAGACGAACGGTGGAGAAGCAATCCATACTCATGTGACATACAACATGCATCAAGTCTAACATATACATTATTTTCTTACTTATCACAACATAAATTTTCTATGGCAAGAATATAAAGCACCAAAGCACGATAGAGATACTAAGAATAAGATACTAAGAGAGTCACCCAACACCTCTAATGGAATTTCTCATAAATCCATATGTTTATTGGTTCCATGTATCGTAGTCAAATCAGAGATACCATAAAAACAAGACTCTCACCGCGAGACACCATCCAACGTAAGCAACCCGATATAACATTCAACTACTCTCCATGGGGCTTTGGGATATTCAATAAAACCTATCAATAATAATATAAATATGCACATTACAAAAGGAAGGCAAATTCGATGACACGAGTCAACATGACCAAATCATAACTGGTTCAAACATTACATCTTCGATCAAAAGGTTGAGCTCAAACGAAAAATACGATGCCAGTCGAAGAAAACTATGGTGTTTCCAGAAGTGAGTAACACAAATATAGTAATCCCATGGCTACATACTTTCTACATTGATTAATGTCAGAATTTGAGTTGTAAAAACATGCTCAACAGGCAGTATATAATGCACAGGCGTGGCTGGCTGAGATTTTCTTTCTTTCAATAGTAATACACAAATGGATTTAAAGCGGTCCCAACAACAAAAACCATACTATGAATGCAAACTGCTGAATAAAATAAATTACCTACTGCCAACGTAATTCACAGCCCAAAATATCTATCTTATCAGCCTAGGATGAAACAACCATCCAAGCTGAACAATGATCTACCTGCAAACAACAAGTTTAAGGTATCGTTGTTTAAGAGATGTATCGCCCGAACATGATATAGCTCGATACTTTCACAATTATGGTCAACCATCAACACCCCTTTTCCTTTATCATAAGAAATAAGGAACTCCTGTTCTTGGGCCTCTCATCTGATTATTCTCCTCTGTCTCAGTGAAGAACTTCACTTCTCTTTCCTGTGTGAAGTTAACAAACGGTTTATTGAGTAAGAAACTTGCATATAATTCCCATGAAAGCATATTCTAAAACCATTATTTAGAAGAAAAAAAAATAATTTAAAAACGTTTATTTCAACCCGGGGTTCAAACCTCTAAAGATGGAGAAATTATTCAATGGGCTACCCCCTACTTTGACCATAAAAATGTGGGAGAGAGATCGAAAAATGTTGAAAAAGTCAACGTCAAAATCATAAGTTCAACAGATTAAAACATCGACAGAACAATACGTTCCTTTTAAAATATAAAAAATAATGACTAAAATGGGCAAGTGAATACTCACCATATTCTCATTAAAGCTCAATATAGAAGCTACATTCCCACAACGATAGCAATAATTTGGAGCAGACCATACCTGCAAATTCAAGGACAAAATAACTCAATCAACTAGATAAAGTCTATCATTATAGAGAGAGATAATAGCTTTTGCTCAAAATCTTACAGTTACAAGGCCTTTATCCTGAAACATGTACTTGAGACCTTCTTGTACAAGTTGATGTGCTCGGCAAACCAAATCAAGATTATTAATGTGATTGAACTGCAATAGTTAGAATCTGCATAAGCTCTGTAGAAAGTTATATGGTTGAACTTTAAAACAGAAAATTACCTCAGAAGTAACTCTGGAACCAAAAAGCCAACCGGCTCCTCGTGGACTAACTGCCCATGTTTCAATATCTTCTGGATCACTCCACATAAGATCACAAAAAGGTCCCTCATGTGGAATTTCACAATTTCTATCAATCACCCGTATCTGTCGCGGAAGAAAAATGGTGGAAAAAAGGCCTCAAGCTAGTAAAATTTCAAACAGATCCATTGGCAAACAGGATTAACAAACATTATTCAACAGATCATAGAAGAAATCATATCACATCAGGCATTATAGAATTTCAAAGGTGGATTTGTAAGGTGTGTTGAAGTGTTCGTAGGCAAGTGCCACACTGCAATTATATAACTTTTTTTTCCCTTCATTTCTTTCAAGGGATCTGCACAGATCTAAATACCAGTAAGAGGACTCTGTATTAATATTAGCAGATCATCCAGAAAGTCTCAATCTGAAATGGTCAAATGAAATCTTCTGAATGAGCGTGCAAATAAACAAACAATAATCATGATAAACTGCTTTTTGGAGCCTTCCTACCGTAAGAAAGCGCTGACCCCTTAAACAGGTTTGCTCCTATGGAAAAAGTTATGGTCAAAGTTCCAAGACTAGCATATGCTCTCTTTCCTAACCAATTGCTTTCTACGTGATGAAATCAAATTAATTGTTGCAACTAATTAATTTCTGAAATGCTTCCCAAGCACATATGAAAGGTTGGACAACTCATAATACATTGTCTATAGATAAGGCATAGGTAAACGCATATTCATATACTTTATCCCTCTTCACATGAAGAATTTGATGCATACATATTATAAAGTGAGTGTCATAAGAAAAGCTATGGACAAGAGAAGACAGATCATCATTTGAAAGAATACAAGAAAACCTGATCTATGGTTCGAACATCAGGAGAGAGTCCTCCATGGACACAGAGAACCTGAGATGGAAAAAAAAAAAAAAAAAAAAAAAAAAAAAAAAAAAAAAAAAAAAAAAAAAAAAAG